TATAAATAATAGAAAAAAATGGTTCAGGACTTTTCGACTCAGTTTTACTCCTTCTACCTGCCTACGAGAGATTGTACGGCAATTCTGGGACACCCTGTATACTGTATAATAGTACAAATATATAACTGTACAAGACTAACTTCAATTTAATTTTCATTTGTATTTTGATAAGTAGCGATATATCGTACACATGAATCGAATTATGATCGAATAATTTTCAATGAGATGTATTGTATGTGTGTTCTCTCTCTGTGTAGCTTAATATCGTAGTTAATGGTAGAAGAGATTTGTGATTCTCTTGTGTGGTAAGATGAAACTTGATTTGATTCCAGATGTATTTGATGTGTTAAACAATATTTCGCCGCGGCGATACACTACTGCCAGTATTTTCGAGATATTTTACACATAATTTTGTTATATATATAATTTATATTATTTTGTGTGCAATATTACAGGTACTTTACGATGGAAAGCTGTCGAATGCAATTGTGTTCATGTACAATCCAGTAGCAACAGACTCGCAGCTTTGTCTACAGAGTGCACCGAAAGGCAACGTCTCCTATTTTGTACATACACCACACGCTCTCATGTTGCAGGTATAGTTTAGTGCAATTTCCGGTTAGAGAGACAGAAATAGATTTAGAATCGGAAACACAGATATTGCATGTGTTCACTTTACTTGTTAGCGACTCGATGTTGTTGAACAACGCACGTAAAATACGTTTTAAAGACGCAGAGCCTGGAATAAGTGAAAAACGTGTCATTTCGACTTTTTTTTTTTTTAGGATGTCAAGGCAGTCATAACCCACTCGATTCACAGCACGTTAAACTCGATAGGTGGTATACAAGTACTGTTCCCATTATTCTCACAGCTGGATATGCCTTACGACTGCATAGCGCCGAACGACATTAAGCGCGATCCCACGTTATGGTGAGTTTTATTAACCGCTATCGGGAAAACGACATACGTTTAAGAGAAAAGAAATATCAATGCCTCGTGGTTTTGTTTTTTTTTTTTTTTACAGTTCGAAACTGCTCGGATTTATTTGCGACTTGGTAGAGAGCTCTCAGACGGTTCAACAGCATATGGTACAAAACAGAGGATTTCTTGTAATAAGTTTTATGTTGCAAAAAGCAAGTCGAGATCACCTTACGACGGAAGTTCTCGCGTCCTTTTTGGAGCTCACAAAACATTTAGTGACATGTCTCAGCGCAAACAGCGACTTACTGTTGAAACAGGTACTGACATATTAATTAGTAATTTATACATATTAATTAATGTTCTAAATGTTTCAATAGGAGATAAATAGTCAAATATATTTACAAACTTACATATAGTTAAGATAATCACATCGAGTTGAATTTTTTTATTGTTACATTTTTATTCAAATGTATTTTATTAATATACGAACTGGTTATCTTAACGAATTGTGGTTATCTTAACTAATTTAAATAAGATGTTGACGTATAGATGCGTATAGATTTAGAAGAGTTCTAGATGAATATAAAATATTATATATAATCCTTCCAAAAAAAAAAAAATGCAATTAACTGAAACAATTTCCCAGAAAAAGTTTAACAAAAACTTAGATAGAGAATTATTGATAGAAAAAGCATAACCATATTAATTGTTGTAGATTACAAGACAGTTATTAGAATTTAATTACTCTGATATTTATTTTATTTTATTTTTACCGTGACGATCACGTATTTTATTGAAATTTTTATAAAATTTTTGTCCTCGCATCTCTAGTTACATTTTTTCATATTTGTATATAATTTTTCATTTTATTTTTATATTCTCTTTTGTACTGTATCTCCTCCCCTTCTCCCAGCATGAAAAGTATGCTCAATTTGATCGGCTAAATTGTGTCAGTTTCAGTGCTGTTCCATCAAACTTGTGTTATTGTCTCTGCTATGTAAAATTAGCTTCTACGCTTCTCGTTCCCACTAAAATTTTCAGATATCCTGTGTTATTAATTAATGTATGCGTATTTTTAATATGTGAATTTCGTTTTGTATCTCCTGAGAATCTGTCTGTGTCAAAGATGTTTCACAATGATGAGCCTGTCGAGCATGTCCATTCACTTTCTCCGATCATTGTTATGTTATTCAAATTTCGGATCGCATGCAATCTATACCGACTTTTGAGCTTCCTGGTTTAAAAAAGTGGCTACGCAAAATATTTTGTTCATGTCGCTTTTACATCAAACAATTTTTGATTCTTATTTTGCGACGCTAAAAATCTTCATCTCTCTCTCTTTGCTATCATGAAAAGTTATGTTTCTCTTCGAATATGCACCGTCATCACAATCTTGCCACACAGCATATTATTATTGTTCATATGTTATATACATTTTTTTCTGTGTTTCAATTCCATTATAATTAAATACAAACCACACGTTTTATTTGTTTGTGTCTACTTGTGAGTTTAATATAATATCGATGCATTTTTATGACTAAAAGCACTTTTATATAATGCAAATTACATCAATAATAATTTTCAACTTCCAGAATGTAAACGTTCATGTGTGTGTGTTGTACACTTTACAGCCTTGAATTTATAATTTTGATGATATTCTCTCTTCAGGATTCTCTCGAATTAACATTTGCACGGATATTTATCTGCACTCGTGATGCTCTCGATTCTCAATTATGTCTTTTTAATAACTCTTATTATATGCAACAACAAATATCTCATCTACGGTTTGTTTTTTTTTTTGTAGCTTGTTTTGATAAACTTTCGTTGTACAAATCGTGTTTTATAATATTTTTCTATTATTTTTGCGTATAAAACAAAAACTCTGTGCTCAAACGGTATCTTTGTTATAAACATATGTTTTATTATTATTTATATTTTTATGTTACATTCACATACTTGCACATGCATACACTTTATCGATCGATTATTTATCAATGCCAAAACCAAACAAAACAATAAATCTACATGAAAAACGAGAAATTTACATACAAGACAATATAAATATCGAAAATAATGTTTTATTTGCGCTGTAAAATATTTTGGATATTTCAATCGTTCGCGAAAAAAAAAAATTTGTAATGAATACGTCAAGACGATAACGTATGGCTCAGGGAAATATGAAAGTCGGCTAGATTGGTGTGTCCGAAGAACAGGCAGATCCATGGTGATGTAGTTGTTTTATTTTACATTCCTAACATGGCAGCTACTGGATCACGTCCTTTTTAATCCCGCTCTGTGGATATATACGCCAGCGCCGGTACAAACGCGGCTTTACTCGTACCTGGCCACAGAGTTTCTTAGCGATACGCAAATCTATTCCAATGTGAGACGTGTATCGACAGTTTTGCAAACGGTGCACACGCTCAAGTACTATTACTGGGTGGCTAATCCACGAGCAAAAAGCGGAATTACACCAAAAGGACTCGGTACGTTTTTTTTTTTTTTTGTTATATGTCAAATAAAATAATATTGATGTTATCAATTTTTATTTCCGATGTTTGAAACAACATTTAATACGAATATCTCTTTGTTACAGATGGACCACGTCCGCAACAAAAAGATATCGTCACAATTCGTTCTTACATTTTGTTGTTTTTGAAACAATTGATATTGATCGGCAACGGTGTGAAAGATGACGAATTGCAGAGCATTCTTAATTATCTGACAACGATGCACGAGGTAATTGTAACGATGCAACAACAAATTCTCTGTTGAAGAATATTTTTCGAACTTCGCGGTGATTTTTTTTTTTTTTTTTTTTTTTTTTTTTTTTTTTTAGGATGAGAACCTGCACGACGTTTTGCAAATGCTCATATCCTTGATGTCGGAACACCCGTCATCGATGGTACCAGCTTTTGACGCGAAACAAGGCGTACGAACGATTTTCAAGCTTCTGGCGGCCGAAAGCCAGCTGATACGGTTGCAAGCGTTGAAACTGCTAGGATTCTTCCTCAGTCGCAGCACCCACAAGTAAACGATACTTTATCGATTAGGCAACAAAATTAAAATTTATTTTTAGATAATAATTAATGTGTTAATTATTTTAATACACAGACGGAAATACGACGTCATGAGCCCACATAATCTGTACACGTTATTGGCCGAGAGACTGTTGTTGAACGAGGAAACGCTCTCATTGCCAACGTACAATGTTTTATACGAGGTATATTTTTTTGTTTGATATATAAATTATATATTTTTAGAGTTTACTAAATTAGATATATTTTTTTTTTTTTTTTTTGGTTTTAATATTTATTTGAATTTTTCTCAATTTGTGACTTTTTTTTAACTTTAGATTATGACAGAACACATCAGTCAACAAATATTGTACGCTAGACATCCCGAACCTGAATCCCACTATCGGTTAGAAAATCCAAGTAAGCTGCCAACTTGATTTACGATCGTAGATATAAGCAAAAAAGTTTTCCTACATTAATTTCTGTCAAAACGTTTATTTTCGTTTCAGTGATCTTGAAAGTGGTCGCGACATTAATTCGACAATCAAAACAGACGGAGCAGCTGTTGGAAGTGAAAAAGCTGTTCCTTTCGGACATGACGCTGCTCTGCAACAACAATCGGGAAAATCGCCGTACCGTTCTGCAAATGTCCGTATGGCAGGAGTGGCTTATAGCCATGGCTTACATTCACCCGAAGAATACGGAAGAGCAAAAAATATCCGACATGGTTTATTCCTTATTTCGTATGCTTCTTCATCACGCTATCAAACACGAATACGGCGGCTGGCGTGTGTGGGTTGACACGCTCGCTATCGTGCACTCGAAGGTAAGTTCGCTTCATATTGTCAGCTCGTAATCACTTAACGTTTCCGTGATATTTGCTTGCCGCAGGTATCCTACGAGGAATTCAAACTCCAATTTGCTCAAATGTACGAGCATTACGAGCGACAGAGATCCGACAATATTACAGATCCCGAGCTAAGACAACAAAGGCCAATCAGCACGATTTCTGGATGGGATCAACAGCATTCCGGAAGCAATGGATATAACAGACCAGCGCCGTGGGGCAATCAACAGAATCACGAGATACAACATATGGACAGAAATTACAAGGTATAATTGCAAACTCCGATTTTGACAGTCATCTCATTCTTCGTCTTTTGCAAAAACAACAACAGTTTCGAAAAGAAACATTTTATATTACAAAATACTAATTTGATAATACTCGTTGAAAATTCATCTATTGCGAAAGACTATACGAGCAATATAGTGGGTGTTAATATTCGAAGATATAGGTTTCGGATTTGAATCGCATTCTCATTTAGTATCAAATTGATCTTGAAACTCCGACGAAGTGAACCAAACTGTTCACATTGGTATAAAAAAATGACACTAACGCGGTTCAAACTCGAAAATCATCATTGAATATTAATATAATTAATATAATACATCGCGAAAGTATCAAATATCAGATACTGGGTGTTAGCGTAATAAATGTTGTAATGATTTTGTTAATGAACTAATATAAATTGAGACGTTTCGATCCAGGTTCGGATATTCTTCGATGAATGACTTTATAAATACAAGAAAGATTATAGAAAAAATATAATACAAAAATTTGAAAAAACAACTCAGTTAAAAATAAATAAATATCTCACCAGAAAATTCGATGATAAGTTGCGCGTCACTAAATCAAAGTTGTCGAGATGTAAAAACAACAATGTCAAAGAACAAAAACGAAAAACAAGACTAGCACTAGATATGTTACATAAATAAGTACATTTTGTAATGATTACGCAATCTGTACACAAATATCGCTTATATATATACATATACATATATGGTTTCATATTACGATACAGGAGTTTGATGCGTCCGAAGCGAACGATCGATTGGAAGAATCCTGCAGTTGTGACCTGAATTCGATAGACAACACCGAGAGTGACGGTAGTCCGGCGATCGTCAAGTCGCGTAGCGAGACCTTGGACACTTTGCAATCGTGCGAGGTCGTGTCGTTGGACTCCAGATTGAGCGACAAACCGGAAACGCCGACTACCGCTCGTGAAACTCACACGGAGACACCGACCATTCTCGAAGAGGCGAATAGCGAAGCAGTCTCGCTGCCGACCACGCAAGAGACTAGCGAAGTGATATCGATCGAGAGTTCCAGCGACTTCTACAGCGAAGTGCACAAAATCGAAAGCTCTAGCCCGGATTCGATGATAGTTCAGGACACACTGAAAAAAGATGAGGACGCGGTTTCCGAGAAGCAGCCAAATGCCGTTATCATCGAATCTCCTGAACAGATTAAAGAAAGCAGCGCGGAAACGACAGTCAGCGAATCAAAAGATGAAAAAGAAGAAACCACGAAAGATGCCAATCCCGATGTTGCAGCTGCTGCAACAAAAGACAAAGTGGAAAATTCTTCGACCACTGCGGACGAAGAAGAGGAAGAAGTAAAAGATAAACCTATCGAAGAGAATAACGTTGCGACCGATGACAGCAATACACCGACCAACACCGAAGATTCCGACAAGACCACAACAACGGTTGAAAACACAGTTGACTCTGTTGTCGTTCCCAAAGAGAACGACGTCGACACCGAAGAAGACACCGTGCCAATTGTCCCTACCGACGAAACGCGGGAAGCGTTGACGGTTAAAGTGATCGAGAAACTCCAACTAGAGAACGACCGCGAAGTGATCGACAGCGACACATCGGAAGCGTACTTGACGCCTACCGAAAATCAGGAAGGCTCGGTCGACATAAGAAGTAGAACATCTGAGGGCGAGAAACTCGACGACGACAACAACACCGTTGAGAAGAAGGACGCTTCCGAAGACAAGGACGTTACCGCTGACGAGACTACTGAAACTGGCGAGAACGAAGAAGCAGAGGAAACTGTAAAAAATCCTAATTGCTCAACTAGCGTAGTAAAAAGCGGCGAGGCTTGCGAAGCGGAGAAGTCAGTAGATCTAGAAGACGAGAAGGCGGAACCAGTAGTAGTGAATAGTGCGTTAAGTAGTGACGATCGCACAGTGGATTCTTTAACGGAGGACAAAAGTGCTGTTATTAATGATAACGAAGATGACGCGAAGGTCGAGAAACACTCAAGGGAGCCGTCCACTATTTCTACTAGCTTAAGTGATAATAAGCCAGACGTTCCGGCGACGACTGGCGAGGTAGAAGTAACAGATAGCGTGTGTAGTAATAGTGATGTTCAAAGTTCTGTAGATAATGTGACGCAAGTGCCAAATCCTAAGCAGCAAATCCCAACAATATCTACGGTCTGTGATGCAACTAAAAGTTTATCCGACGGTGTGCCTCAAATCGTTAGTTCTAATGTGGTTACCAGAGACAATGCGTTAGCGAATGACTTAACTCCGGATCACATAGACAACCACCGCAGATCCAGCCTGCCGATCGTCTCCACGGAACCGGTCGCGGATGATAACAGTCACGAGCCACCCTCCTTGCCTGTACCCTTACGGAAGACATCGTCACCCCAAAAACGACCAAGGAGTGCCTCTACGTCCACGCAGGTGGATCCCAATCATTTCGGTGCGTTACGAAATATTGCTACTTTCACATTTGTCTATTTTACAAAATTTGTAAAAAATAAATGTTTTTTATTTTATTTTATGTTATTTTTTTTTTATTGCAGAAGCCAAAAGAGCAAAACAAGGAAATCCTTCCACGCGACCAATGTTCAGTCCAGGTCCGACACGACCTCCGTTCAGAATACCAGAATTCAAGTGGTCTTACATACATCAACGGCTATTGTCGGATGTTTTGTTTTCGTTAGAAACAGATATTCAAGTGTGGAGAAGGTAAGAAATGTTTTTTTGTATTCACTTATGAACGGAAGAGAAATTGACCCTATCAGAGTTTTGTGCTAATTTTTCTGCATTTTACAGTCACTCGACGAAATCTGTATTAGATTTCGTGAACAGCAGTGAAAATGCCATTTTTGTGGTGAACACTGTCCATCTAATTTCGCAATTAGCTGACAATCTCATAATAGCCTGCGGCGGCTTGTTACCCTTATTAGCGTCAGCTACCTCGCCAAATGTACGTAAATTCTTCTCACGCATGATGAAATGTAAAAATCCCATAGATACAGTTTTTCAATCTGTTTGTTTTAATCGTTTATTTTAATGATTGGTTTTAGAGCGAACTGGACGTAATCGAACCAACTCAGGGGATGCCAATCGAAGTTGCAGTTTCTTTTTTGCAAAGACTAGTCAACATGGCCGACGTACTTATATTCGCTAGCTCGTTAAACTTTTCAGAACTGGAGGCGGAGAAAAATATGTCGAGTGGCGGCATACTGCGACAATGCTTGCGATTGGTTTGTATCACTATGCGTAAGATATTTTAACGATACACCAGAAAGAAAAATTGAAATTAGTCTAGATGAATAGAATGATTTTGTCACATTTTGATCGTAATTTTTTTTTATTTTTTGCACTTGATAAAATATAGAATTTATAGCCAAAGTTTATATATTCTATATATATATATATATAGAAAAATAAATATAAAAATTATTATGTTAATATATCAATTGTTTGTTTTAGTGCTGCTTTACGCGATGTGTATTATGTGTGCAATATTTTTTTAACAAAAACTACCTACAAAGCATTAAAAAAATTTCACCATAATACACTCGAATGAAACGTGCAGTTGCTATGATATATATCTTTATTTATTTTTATTTTAGTGAAAATAAATGTGGCATGCATCAAATTCTAAAAATTCGACATACAATTACTACACTTTGAAAACAAGTATATAATAAAAGGCATATAATGAAAAAGTTACATATAATAAAATTACATATTTAATACAGAAATAAAACAATGTTTAGAAATACTTAATATCAACATAAAACAATTTTTATACAAAACTACATATGTTTTATTCAACATTTGACACGTTAAAGTGAAAAACTAAGAAATATATCCGCAATATTGCGGATGTAGTGTCAACACAACATTTATAGTATATTCGAAAAAATAGTTGTACTTAGACCCAACATATACACATCCTTTTGTTGTATTTACCTAATAAACTGCTTCTATAGGTCTGTACATGTGCCGTTAGAAACTGCTTAGAGTGTAAAGAACGTGGCAGATCATACAGCATGTTAGGTCGGCAGATCGGTACTAGTAATAAATCACAGCATATACAATCGCTCATACGCGGGGCTCAAACATCGCCTAAGGTACGTTCTATCCGATCGAATTTACTTTGTGTGTAGGATACAAATATAGTAAACACAATTTTGTTTCCCAATATTTTTTGTTTCAAAAGTTCTGTAGTTTTGCTGGTGTGTTCAATAATATTCTATATAAAGAATATTGTTTTATTTATAGAACATCGTGGACAATCTTGCGCATCAATTAAGCCCTGTAAAGGATCCGGAGAAATTGTTGCAAGATATGGACGTCAATCGTTTAAGAGCTGTGATATACAGAGATGTTGTAAGTAATAAGTTTTAATGTATTGTTAAATGTGATATATGTGTGAGTAAAAATCAAGAAGAAAGATTAAATCGCTCAATTTCGATTTCAGGAAGAAACCAAGCAGGCACAGTTTCTGTCCTTAGCTATAGTTTACTTCATTTCTGTATTAATGGTTTCTAAATATCGCGATATATTGGAACCACCAATATCGCAACGTCCACCTAGTCCAGTACAAACGATACAGACAAATGGCGCCGGTCTCAGGCCAGGTAGCCCCTCAGGTGAGATTCTCTGTATTTTTATTGAGATCACTGACACTAATTCGAAACGATAATTTATATAAATATCGATCATACAAGTAATCGTTATATCAGTGAGGACAATTTTTAAAAAGAATTGTTTTTATAATTTTTAATAGTTTATTTTTTTTCACCGAGTATGCACTCTGCAAAGAACTTATGAATTACAGAATTAATGTAAGAAATAACATGACACTGTACTGTGATGAAAAATTGTTTAATGCGAAATAGAGAAGAACGTAAATGAAATTTTTTTCATTATATTTATATGTAATTTTTATTATATTTATATGAGAGAGAAAAAACTAATATAATAAATCTAAAAGATCAAACCTAATATTTTTTATATTCTACTACGTTTAGCTAACAATTGGTTATTGTTAAAATTAAGAAATCATAGAAAGAAAACAATGGAATATCTTATCATTGCACGTTGAACGTATTGTTTCTCTAAAAAAAAAGTAAAAAACTTCCTAAAAAAAAACTCTTCTGTTCACTCAAAACTCTCTTATATGTCAGATATATATTCTTTCTTTGTAGAGATTATAGTTAATAAATTAAATATGTCTAGCGAACGTTAATTTACAATTAGTTTTCGATAATACAGCATGACTGCAGCTATACAAAGAGACTTAGAGAGAAATTTGCAACGGAAATGTCTCGTATAAAGATACATATATCCATCTGATTAAATAGCAAACAATAGAAAAGTATTATCTTTTTCAAAATTTTCAATGTTTAACAATTTCTTTGGCAACGATGTATTGATATCGTACACTATTGATACGTTGTTACCGAGAGAATTCGTTTTTACTATGTAATAATTACTAAATTTACAGAGCAGCAGAGATTAGCTGGCTAAAAAGAATTCTTTGTTATAATAATATCGTAAATGAGAATGAAATATAGATGTTATAAATAGCGTCGATATATACATGTACAAATATGTAGCTAGTGTTCAACACTGTGCACCAAAACGATGTAGCTGCAACTGAAACAACAGCACATGACACCAAAGTAGAACGCATGTGTTATTGCACTGTATGAAGTAAACATCCTATATATATATATATATACATATATATATATTATATATGTATCTGACAGTGAGAGTTTTGATGTTTGCCGAATGTGTTTGCACTTTTTTGCGTTACGAATATATATACTTGCGTTACATATCGTTGTCGTTGTTATTCTCTTGAATGTGAAACTTCTTTGTGTGGGGAAATCTTTCAGAAGATCGATGTCTCTATGACTGTGATTATATAGATGTCATATATGATTGATAACTGGATGTTTGAAACGAGAATCAACAGATGTCTGTGTCGCGAAATAAGTTCTTTTAGAATGTTATACTCTGTTTAGGCGTTTATAATATATTATCGATAACACGTATCGTGACGATATCTTTCGAATCGCAATCAAAGCAAATGATAAACAATATATTGATCTTTTTTTTTCCAAGTCTCTAAAAGGTTTATTATACGATATACAATGTTTTTGTAAATAATACATGTAGTTTTTTTTAATGATAAAACACATAGTATTTCCTTATTGAATTTTACTTTATGAAAGAGTTAACTGCGATACGACACGCCGACTATGCCCGATAACAGTAGCAAATATGGTTCCTCGGCAGATGGGAATGGTGGTGGAGGAGGGCGGCCTCTATTTCCACAGTGGTCTCACCACGTGTACCCACAGTTCCTCCCGGGATCTCACCCTAACGCCAATGCGAATGTCAATGCCAATGCCAACCACCACATCAACCAGCACCACCACCAGCACCCGCTACCGGCTGCCAGGCACTCTAATCGCCAGCCACCTTCCAACTATTATCTCCCGAATCATCATAACAGTCACTATAACCATCACCCGAATAACCATAACTATCATCGCCATCATCACTATCATCATCACAATAACAACAACCACCATACGCTTCAAAAGCATATCGATCAGCCCCGAAATCTCTGTCATAGAAACTCCGGTGTCGGGCTGCAAGGTAACTCGAAAACCCGAACAAGAACAAGTTGTTTCACAGAATGTCCGAGTTCTTTTGGCCTGATTTAATTGCGCAGCTCCTCCTGTTTTTATACGCTGATTTACAGTCTGCACGACGCTTATCGAATATATGAACGGCTTCTTGCGTTTCCTCGCGCGCAAGAAAAGTCCCTTGGATGTGTTTTCCCCCTCGATGTTTATACATACAATAGCTACTGAATTCTTCCCGCATTTACGAGTCTTAATATTGAGTAAAATAGCTTAAGAAAAGTATACACTATAAGTTATATTAGAAAAAAGTTCAATATTTGTTTTTCTTGCAGTTAATTTCTCTGTTTTTCTTGTTTACATGTGGATTAATTACACTTCAGTTATTGTTAAAACTAATACATATTTTTTTAATTACGCTTATGTTTATTTCTCTAAGATGACCGCGCGCACACTGCATGTTGTGTACACACAAACTGTCTTGAAAGTTTAAAGCATATATTGTCGTGAAAAAAGTAAAACTGAATAAATGTTTTATTTTATACAAAAAAGAGCATGTGTACTTTAAGTACGTGACTTATTTCGTAACTCATTTATCATGTTGTTTGTACTATTTGATACAAGTAAATACATTCAAAATTTTTTTTCAAGAACCACCAACACGTCTTTGAAGATCGGCATAAAATTATTAAAATTTACTAATTTATTCTCAAAAAAAAAAAAAAAAGAAATTTAAGTGCTTTATATGAATGTTGCGTCCTATATAATTTAGCTTTTGATTTTCGCACACCCCTCTCGTGTAATACCGTCTAACGAGACAGAGAAAATATTATATATTATGTGTTTTAATCTTTTATTATTGTACATAGATGTTATTATACTGATCTCTCTGCATTTCCCACTTCAACAAGTTGCAAAGAATCATGTCAGATAATATTGATTATTTTACACACCACACATGTATATAATAAGAGAACTGTTCCACTTTGCTCAAGTTGAACGCATGTTGTATGGATATCAAATGGCTTTGCGAAAATCGTTCCACGCGCTTCTCGATTTTTTTAACATCGCAACTTTGATCATGATGTTCTCAGGTAGCGGAGGTATCATGAGTCAATCGGGTTCTCAGGACGACGGTGAATACGAAGTCATCATCGTCGACGAGAACAACTCTTCGATCTTGGCCGATCACGACGTCACGTCGTCGGGACCGCCGTCGACCAAGGTAAGTTCACACCTATGAATAGCCCGAACTCCCGACACCTGAAAAGTGCACCAGACACTTGTTCCACCTTCACCCGAACAAAATTTGAAAGAGAAGTCTACGAGAAAAATTGAACCGAAAAGTCTATCTCAGGTAAAAAGTCTTGTAAATTCCGTTAATAAACGTGTATGAAAATTCAATTCGATAGTGTACGACATATAGTTTGACTGAGACACTGAAACATAATATGGTTATTATTCTCTCTACTGAAAGTTTTGACGATTTTACTTGCGAGAATTGCATGCGTTTTTCGGTAGATAAGACGAACGTAGAACACAGGAGGATTTTCGATGTTTCGAATCTTTTGCTTTCACACAGCTCTACGTAGCGAGTACGATCTCTTGCGGGTCTTTTTTTTCTAAACGTTTTTCAACAGAACACGTCTTATCTCTTTTCAATACTGTCCTACAAATTTTTTTTCCTAATATATACTTCTCTTTGTGCTCGATAAATATTTTGAACTAATACATGACTCTCTAGCAGCGAGACAGCACTTTTTCTTTTTTTTTTCCACGAGAAGCACGATCTCTTTACGGAAATATATATTATGTACGTTTTTCACCGCAGTAATGATCAGATACTTTTGTGCACAACGCTTTTGCACATAGTTCATCCAAACACGTGTTCTCGTTCACGTGGCAAATTGAATATATAGAATTGTTAATAGTTTGATATAGACACAGTTGTAAAATTTATATCAGTAATAGACTTTGTATATATACGATAGCTCAAAGATAGTTTACATAATCGTAAAACGATAAAAAAGGTAAATTTTTATCTTCAATTTTTAATTGATTAAATGTAAAACTTTTTTGTGTTCGATAAGAATTGTACGAATTCTATAAATGTAGTGCCCCTTTCCCCCCACCCCCCTTTATTAGGTGATTCCGATGTACACGTAATTTCGGAACCACATTGTTCGTAGTTGAAAGAAATCTTGCGATGTCCAGCATGTAGTGTTTACACTTTATCGATTGATATCCTGCATCTCTACGTAGACCCAAGGCGTAACGACCGTTATCTCTCTCAGTGATCACGATGTCCCGTAATTTATATTTATAATAATATTTATTATGTATTCGCACGCAGTTATGTGTCACGTCACGGAATTTGAGGAATCTCATTGATTTTTTTTGTCGATTTGAAATTTTTCCACCTTGGTGAAGAGCCGCGAAATTTTACTCGCGATTTATCACCGCACCGCCGCGAAATCACACGCGTAATTTAATTTTAATATAACCCCTCTCGATCTCGAGCATGTGCGACTTACTCTGACTCTTGAATTTTTCTCTCATTGTTAACTTCCTCTGCTTGCATTGCTATGCGTACTAACTACTGGTTCTGAAGGGAGGTCACACTGGTGTACCTCGGCCGCGGACTATTCTCGAGGATTACACCTCATCAGAACCAACGCTTGGCACTTCTACAAGGTCCGAACCACTGCCACGAAGTCTACAGGTAAAACTAAACTAAAGTTACACAGAGAGATCTCTCCGGGAAGAGAGAACGGGAATTCGTTCCTCTCCGCGTTTTTTTCTTTTTTTTTTATGTCGTAACGATCCAAGCCACGTGTTTTCGGAATAAAAACTTGTGTTGTTAAAAAATTTTTTTTTTATAAATTTTTCTTTTGTCGCAAACGAGAATGCAAAAAGATGCGCAACAAAAAACGCCCAGTTGACGGGTGTGAGAAAAGAGAGAGAGCGAGATACACTCTTTGATTGATGCATCTATTTCGATGCTTACGTTAGTGTTGTCATAATGTTGTAATACGTAGCGGTCCTTGACACGCGTACAATGACGGTATACAATCACGGTACAAATATATAATACAGTGTGTTTAGTTTTGCGCGTAAAATAGCGACACTACAAAGTCGGAAGATTCTGAAACGTGCAATGTATTGTATGTTTATACCGTGCGCCATTTCGTCTTCTTCTGCGTAGAATCGTAAGCTTGAATACGTAACAGGCTTATTTACTTCTTTCTTATAATACATAGTTGATTGCCGTAGTAGTGGTGTACTACTAACTGCATGTAAGTACAAGGCACGCGAAAGTTTTATTGATAAAGTATGACTGTATGAAACGTTTTTTTTTTTCTGTGGAAGATACTATACATACTTTTTTTTTGGTTAGTAAAAGATTTTCGTTAGTAAAAGATTTTTTGTTAGTAAAAGATTCCAGTGTGTGTGTGTCTGTACAGTAGCAACATAATATATCTCTAAATTTCATGTTGTTGAAGGGACGTTCGCATCGAGAGCGAAAAAAACTATATTTCGCTTCTAATCGAGCAGTGATGTAAGAAAAAACACTTCGAACATTTCGAACTTCGACGTTGAATTTCAAGGAATATTATCGAATAAAAAAGAAGATTTAAAAAACGACGATTATATTCGTATAAATAATTTATAAAATACGAACAGACGAAAATAATTTATTAGACAATATTGCAAATCCCCCATCTTGTATGTCGTATATTTTTTAATCCGTATAACTTCTGCATATTTACATTATATATATTCGTCCGATAGGATTTTTTTTTTTTTTTTTTTTTAATCTCGATATGAGATCCTAATTCCGAGATCTTACGTTTTATTTTTTTTTTCTTTATTTCGATCATCGTCACTTTCTACCAGAGCAACGACTCAAGCGAGGAGACAGTACATCGCAGCAATATCACCGTGGACCCGAGTCCTTCCGAAGTCACCACCGACAACGAAAATAAGCACAATTCGTCCGAGGAAGCCTGGACAGACGTTAATCTCAACGAGGATGGCGACACGATGCCGATTACGAATCCCAGAGAGGATCCGCGAAATATTCACAATATCGCTCATTCGCGTGGTAAGAATCTCGAATGCCAGGAGGATTGTTTGTAATTTGTGATCAGAATTATTGAAAAAAAAAAAAAGAAAAAAGAACAATTTGTATCTAAAACAATTTAATCTTGTACGAGCGTAACGACGAGACGCATATATATATTGAAAACTATACAGGCGACATTCAGGACAGCGAGGGCAACGTTCTCGAGCAAGAGATGCTCGGCAACGCGGAACGGGGGGAAAAGCCGTCGGCGGAGATCTCGGTGGTGCGAGTTCCCGATCGACTGGTGGTAACCGCGGCGTCACCTAGGGCCGACGAGTTGCCGATCAAAGGTCTGGTCGATCATTTACCCGTACCAACACCTTCCCGCGAGGCCTCGCTCACGCAAAAGTTGGAAATGGCCTTGGGTTCGGTTTGTCCCCTCCTTCGGGAGATCATGGTGGACTTTGCCCCCTTCCTGTCCAAAACACTCGTTGGCTCCCATGGTCAAGAATTGTTAATGGAAGGAAAAGGTACGAGTTGCAAGGGTATGTCAAACGTGCGGTCATATTTCTATGTTTGGTGTCGCATGTTGTACGTATAAATTTTTTTTTTTGTGTTGAGAAATATCCATTCCGCGTAAAACAAACCTGATTTTCTATTCCGGAATGGTCTATAAATTGCATTAGGAGGAACGCGACGGTGTGTCTTGTATGCGCGCGCGTTAATAAAATCAAATATAAAAGGGAAAGACCTCACGCGCGTTTTATACGCGCGCGCAATATGACGTAGAATGTCCGAGACTCAATAGATATATAAAGGATATATTTCACGTTGGACTTTATTACACGGGGAACAGTCATAACGTGGTCTATGTTTTCCAAGTAACGCCGAGATATATATCACGCCTACGAATATAAAAAACATAGGAAGCGCATAAAGAATTACGAAAACAACAAAATTCATTTATATATATATATATATTTTTTTTATTTGTTTGTTTTTTTTTTCTATCTTGTTGCGCGATAAAAATAGTTGTAAACACACAAAACGCAGCATTAGATGTGTGTTTCGGGTTTTAATACCTTTTTCGAATTTCCACCGCAATATACGACGGTGTTTTCTAAAAAAAAAAAAAAAACAATGTTTATTACCTTCTTTCAAATTTATTTGTTTACGTCGCACACACACACGTGTTTAAAATTATCATCGATAAAAGAACGGGAAAAAATTGTCATCGCGCGAAAGACAAACAAAAAAAAAAAAAAACATGATTAAAATTCTACTTATCGTGTAAAATTATTTAAAACTGTACATTTAGATGTGTTCGAGTGATAAAAATTTCAGATCCGTTCGGTGCTCGGCGTGTTTTTCGGGGTGAGGTACTTTCGTCACTTTTATGGCCCGAGTATCTCTCGGCGTTTCACACCGAGTATTCAAATTAGTCACTTTATGATTTCGCTTGAGGAAGATAGGCAGCAGCAGCAGAGCGCGCGTTCCGAGTAATCGCTCGCTATTAGTATTCAACCTGCGAATAGTGACCGCGCGCAATGATTCTCGCGGATTTCATATTCAGGAAACGTAGCGTTTCGATGGTCCTGCGACCATATCGATGCGCTTTATTTTTAACGCAACGCGTTACAAACTGAACTGTCTTCTTTGTAAATCACGCCGCTGTTCGTGTTCGTTTTCTCTTCGTTGCTCGCTTTCTGTTGTTGTTTCGCTCACGTTTCTCGCGCTCTCGTTTCTCTAACGATTTTCTTCGCAATATATTTGCCAGGTTTGACCACGTTCAAGAACAGCAACTCCGTCGTGGAACTGGTGATGCTCCTCTGCTCGCAGGAATGGCAAAACTCTCTGCAGAAACACGCGGGTCTCGCTTTCATCGAGCTCATTAACGAGGGAAGGTAAGAGACGTTTATTACAACTAGTGTGCGCGCAAAAACAAAACGAAATCAAACGTTTCTCGTTTCCCTTCATGAAAACGCTTCTCTGCTTTACACAGGTTGCTATCTCACGCGATGAAGGATCACATAGTAAGAGTCGCAAACGAGGCAGAGTTCATTTTAAACAGGATGAGAGCGGATGACGTGCTGAAGCACGCTGACTTTGAGGTATAGCTCGCATTTCTTTGCGCGATTTTTTTTTTTCATTACTCCGTGTAACACCAGTGTTTCCAACCAAGTTTTTTCCGTTCTCTTGAGATTTTCTACAAAATGATTTTCTCACAGTCTTTTGTTTACTCGAACACGTCACGATATAATATTGCAATGATTAAATTGAAAACAATTAATTAATAATTTAATATTTTTCTCTTTGCACAGTCACAATGCGCGCAAACGTTACTGGACCGTCGAGAGGAAGAACGCATGTGCGATCACCTGATCACCGCGGCACGAAGACGCGATAACGTGATCGCCAGCAGATTGCTGGAAAAAGTCCGAAATATTCTGTCCAATAAGCACGGTGCATGGGGATACATGGATCCAATGGCTGCAAAGTACGTTCCGAATATCGCAATTATATTGCTCGAAACAACCTTCGTGAATTATTCAAAGATGAGATTTTGTTTAATCATTCGCGCATTTTATCTCGTCATTCGCAGATCGACCGAGTACTGGAAGTTGGATGCTTGGGAGGATGATGCACGCAGACGCAAGCGTTTCGTGCACAATCCACTAGGCTCGAGCCACCCGGAGGCTACTCTCAAGGCGGCTCTAGAACACGGTGCACCCGAGGATGCGATACTTCAGGCGCGTGAAGAGTTTCACGCGCATCTCGCAGCCTCGCGTGCACACCAACAGCAATTGCAGTCGGCGGATCTCTTGGATGACAGTGAATTGCTCGCGGACGACAGGGATCTCGACAACGACCTGACAGGTTGGTCGGCGTTCTCCGTTTTGCTGATAAACGAGGCGTGACATTTTAATGACACATTACGTACCACGCGAACCGGTTTCTCTCCCGTCAATTTCGCACAACGTTGTTGAGTTCACTGTTTAAATATCGATCGTTAATTATTACATGTTACTCCACTTTCCGCGCTTAATTTTCAATTTCTATGCGCCGTATAGAGTAGAATTTTATGCCGATAATTAGCATGAATTAAAAGACAAACAAAAAAAAAAACGGCGCAATTTATTCACATCTTAATGATTGAAGAGAAAAAAGCGCGCGTATATTTATTGCGCAATTTTTATTATCATTGCACGCGCTCGGTTCGATTGTTCGTGTTGTTTTTGGTTTTCAGGTCCAGTAAACATCAGCACGAAGGGCAGATTGATCGCACCTGGTATCGTGGCGCCCGGCATCATTTCCGTTACATCCACAGAATTGTATTTCGAGGTGGACGAGGAGGATCCGGAGTTCAAGAAAATCGACAGTGAGGTGAGTTTACGTAGATTAAATTGTTTGGAACAACAAATATAAATATACACACCGTCTCTCGGCGCATATCTTTCGTCGTAACACGCGTTGTTTTATGTAATCTTTGATAATTAGTGGTTTTTTAACCTTATCTTCCCTTATCGTTAAAATAGAGCGTATGTATTTGGGACAACATTTACAAGTTATACGTTGTTACGTGTTTAAAATGTAGTCACCGGTCTTGCCTCGGCGATAAGATTGTTTTTTTAATGAAGGTTGTTTAAACGTAAGAGCGCTAAAACGAGAATTTAGAATTTCAAACTTGTGTTTGTATTTAGAATTTTAAACTTATATGTTTCGCTAAAACAAAAAAACGTAATCGTATTTTTTTTTTTTTTTTTTTTTTTTTCAATTTTTCTCGATTTCGTTATTTCGCGGGAATGCATCTCTATCTAGCGTGTGTGTGTGTGTGTGCGCGCGCGTTAGCACCGCGCCCGCGCAGGTTCAAAAATTGCGCGCGGTAATAACGCCCACTATTTACATGTTAAATGTTTGGGGTTAATATTTTATATTGCTGTTCTCTCTCTTAAACTGACGAACGCGAGAGCCTAAGGTAGCCGCTCATAACGAAGAAAATCAATCACTCCGGCTGTCGTGGAATTTGAATAAGTGTGCGTCGTAAATGATGAGACGTGGCGAAAGCTTCCACGGCACCGCCGCGATGGAAGCAGATTCTGGCTAGAATTAGTCCGGACGTGTCCCTGTCTATCAGTGTCCATAAGGCACCCTACATTGTGAAGGTTTACACAATTTAAAAAAAAAAAAAAAGAAAGAAAGAAAGAAAATAGGTACAAGAGGAGAAAAGAAAGTCGAGATAAGGCACGCACGACGAGACGCGAGAGAGAAGGAAGGAGATACGAAGAGCGAGAAAGACAAACTGGAAGAACTAGAAGGACGATTATCATATATCGGTCGTAGATCTCACGTTTGTATAACTAGGGAATAAAACAAACAGAGGAGGGCCCCATGGGGTCGACCGATCTTCAGGGTCGGCAATTATGAGCCCCCCGCGGGGCCCGGTATCCGCCTGCCCGCTCTTCCGTCTCTCTTTCTCTCTTTCCCCGTATCTCCCATCGCTTCGCCACGCACCGACCACGCATCTCGGTGGCATAGGTGAACAAACAGCTTCTCGGGAATGTACTGAAACTAACTACCACAGTTTCCCACCTAGCCGATAGACATCGCGCACTGTAAAATCGTATATCTCTCCGCGCTTCTCGAGAGTAAAAGTTTGAATTTTTTTTTTTTTTTGTTACATCGCGCACTGTTCGCGTTGCAACATTTCTTTTTGCGCGTGCGCATTGTTAACTGATCTATGTGCGCATGTGCTGATATCGTCCTAACCGATCGATATACGCATGAGCACAAATTGCAATTGTTGCTGCAATGCACAGTGTAAAAAAAAAAGGCAAGATAGAAAATTACACACAATTTTTTTACAAACATTTGTGCGTTTTTATAACAATGGAAATACACTTAATACACGTTTATTCGATCACCCCGACTGTTTCGAGAACGAGAATCGCTATTCGCGCTTCCTTGCCGAGGTAATAATAAAATTTTCCTTAATAAATTTTTAACCATAATTTTTTTTTATAGACATTGTTGTACGAAATCTCACTGAGGTTGTCAAGTTAAATTCTTCTTTTAACGATTTGTGACGATAACGTCTCGTTATTTATTTAGTAGTACACTCGGTGTGTCGTTCGAGAATTTCAACAAATCGCTCGTCGTCCAACGATGCTATCGCGCGCGCTTCCCGAAGCATGCGCAGAGATTTCGTGGGTCGTGTCCACCTGTCGTCCCCGTTATATCTCGAACGACGGGACTCGCTTCGTGAATAGGACGTACGAACTCATTCGGGCTCTCTTAATTGGAATCCTTTTTAAGAAGGAACGCGCTGGAGAGCGCACCTGGAAGTGTGCGAGGAAAGAGCGCGCGCGCAAAGGATAGAAAGAAACAACAAAGAAGTGGATGAAGAGAGGCCGGGGAGGAAAGGAGGAGGCGGAGACGAAGGTATAGTGGATGGAGAAAGAGGGAGAGAGACCGGTCGTTCACGATCGAGACACGCTCATTAGTCGAGGATGTCCCGAGGGTAGGCGGGAGACTTCGTCGAATTCGTAGGCGATGGATCACTCGATAGTCGAGCCGAGACTTAAGCGATCGTAATGCGCGGCCGCAGAAGAGGATGCACCCAGGAATGGCCTCAGGGAGGGACTGCATATCGGCTCCCCGCCCGCACCCTCTTTTGTGCGTATCTCCTCGCTGGCCTCTTCCTCGCCGATCGCGCCGATTCTCCTCCCGTCTTCCTCCTCCGCCTTTTATAATGGCTCGGGCAAACGTATTTATCGTGATTTATCGTTTACACGGGTCTCTTCTTCCTCCCCCGCCCTCGCCTTTCTTTCTCTTGTCTCTCGCTCTTTCTCTCTCTCTCTTCTTCTTCTCCGTCTGTCCCGCAGCGTTTCTCGTTGAAGATAGAGGATGCGCACCGTGCGATTACGTCGCGAATGAATTATTGATAGTCCGCGAGGAGCATTAATATCTAAAACAAATAATCCAACGGCGCGGCACTCCGCCTCTCGCTCGCGCAATACTTTTTTTTGTCTTAAATTTGACGAGGAAATCGCGCTCTTCCTCCGCACGATTCAGATGACCGGTGAGTGAGCGCGAGTTGTGTCCGCGCGTGATAAATTAAATGGTTATTCGCGTTTCGCATCGTGTGTATTATTTTGAGAAGATTTATGTTATATAATTGCTCGTGATGACGCGTAATAACGGTATGTCGTCGGTGGTTGTCGTCGTGTAAGAGGAAAATTGAGTCGCCACTATTCTTATAGACAGCAAGACGAGAGAGGTAACATCGTAAAGTAATAATTGATTTTCTTCGTCTCCCATTAGCATTTATCGTACAAGTTCAGAAGCTGTAAACACGCGTACGCACGAAGTAAAGAAAAACGATAGGAAAACAAAAGCTATCGACGCGGCGCTTGAAATGTAAATTTACATATCTGTTATTAAACCTTCGTTTTTTTATTTTCACGAACATCGAAGAGAGTAAAGAAAACACTGTCGATAAATCTAATACGAACTTGTTCGAGAGAGAGAGAGAGAGAAAGAGATAGGTCACACGGAGACATTAAATTTCGATTCGCGTCGCGGCGGTTCGCATTTTTATGGAAACCTGCTCCGTGGCGCCTAAAACTCTCTCCTCTCTTTTCGGTGGTGTGGGGTTTTATCGCGGGCACACGCTGCGAATATATATCCCCCGTGAGACGCTCGCGCGGCGCAAGAAAGAGAAAAGATCGGAGTGAGAGAAGGATGTACCTACCGACCGGACAGGTGGTCCGCGTGCCACAGGTTGTGGTGCGCGCTCGTTCGCAGGGAAGATACCATTAACGAGGAGTACAATGTCGCGAAAAATCCGAGAGACATCGGGTCGTTTATCAGCGCGTTCGCAAATAGAAACTTCCTCGTAGATCGTATACGAGGTGCGGGGGGAAGGGGAGGGAGATACTTTGGCCTCGTGGAGGTATATATCTGTGACTCACTTTGCATCGGGAATCATTAATATCGGTTTGTGCTCACGTAAGTTGAACGATTGTGAAGTCGATTGTACAATCGCCCAGAGATATCGATGTAAAAAAAAAAAAAAAAAAAAAAACAAGAAAAAAAACGTCCACACTTTATTGCTTAGACGTTCGCGCATGAGAGACTAAACGAGAGTGACAAGGGAGGGCGGACTGTGACCGAGCACCGGTTTTAATGGTATGCGATTACGGGGCCTCGGCTTCGGCAATGCATATGCATGATATCGGTGTGTGTGATGTAGTGCAAGTGACGTTATAATAATGCGACTGTAATTATTCCGCGCGCGCTTCGGTCTCGCGCGCGGGATTTGTCCCACCTTCTTGCTTTTAAAACACAGCCGTCGCGAAACCCGGGGACGACCCGTATCTCCATTCCATTTTAATTCCGCCGCATTATCTCTCGTATATCTACGCGATTATAAACGCGTGTCGATAAATAATAAAGCCTGTCAGCTACTCTCGCGGCGCGGCAGATTGCCGGTGCTGTCAGTGAGCTTCGCTCTCCGAATAAAGAGAGACTTTTCCTCTCCTCCGTTGCGCTCGTCCGTTGAATTATGTATCGCGAATTTCGAAATAATAACTCTCGTCGAGTTTGATGAATAAGCGCGCAACTACCGATCGGATCTAATGTCTTCTGCTTGCGTATACATCACTCTCTGACTTTGTTATTTGAAAAAAAAAAAAAAAAGGAACGGCGAAAGAGAGAGAGAGAGAGAGAAAGAGAGAGAGACAAATAGAGAAAGAGAGAGGCAATAATTATTCTTCCAACTATGCCATTGCGCATTTTCTGCCAAAGGGATGCACGAGCGCCGCCGTATCGATGCGAATTTGCATATTCCGCATAATTTAATCGATCCGCGACCTCGATGAGATTCGACGTTATGGTAGCCGACGACCGGGGGGCAGAGAGTCTGCGCGAAAAGGATGCTGTTAGTTTGGTAAACATCCATCAATTCGTGGGCAGGGCAGCAGCGCGAGGCAGAGAACCTGAAGAGCAGGGCAAGGCGGTGGAAGGAACGGGCGGGTTCATTCTCAACAAGGCAGGGGTAATCACTGCTATTAGTGCGGACATTACTCCGGTGGTCCGCCAATCTCCGTAACACTCCATCATATCGGGTGCCCCGAAGGGGACTCACTCAGTGATGTAGAAAATAGATTTTCCTACAGATCGCTATCAGGCTCAACATTTTACATTCGCGTAAAATACTTAATCGCGAGAAAATTGCTTTATTTCTTGAAAAAGAGAGCGCCTGCCAGATACATATATATTACACGCTAATAATCATCTGCTGATAAACGTATCGAATTACATTTTTCAAATTCTCTCATTGCGAATTATCTCATTCGATTAATGAACGTTTGTAAATGTGTATT